ATCATATAATTTTAAATACCATAAGCCTGAATTTATGAAATATGGCCGATCATGAGTGATAAATAATAATATATAGTATTATATATATTAGTTTTAGTCACATGTTAAGTTTCCTATTGAAAAATAAGGTATACTCCCAAACTTCTATGGTTTTTCGTGACTCACGCTCTCATCACCAGGTGGCCGAATGGCAGACAGTGGCGCCGTTCGCCAGGGACGCCAAATGGGAGCCAGATAGATTCCGCAGATCCAACAGAATCGTGCGTTAGTCCGTCCCGTCCCGACACTCACACAGACAGGGCGAGTCGCTGCCAATGTGCTGGGAACAACATCATTTTGCTGCCCTGTCTGTCATCCATGCCGTTTGCATTGTCCACCGCTCATTGGTGTGTGTAATTTTTCGCGTGACTCCCATGTAAAGATTTGATCTTTAACAGATCTCACTAGCGGCGTCTGCCGGCGTCAGTCTACGGTCTCCATTCTCCAGTCTCCGGTCTCCTGTCTCCAGAGCGATAGACCTCCAGGTGGAGGTCGCTCTGCATCATCTCCAATGATATGGGGGCGTTGTAATTGGGGATATATGTGTGTGTGCCTTGTAGCCTAAATAATCAGATCTATATCCAAGATTATAGCCAAACTCCTTGTGAAGATCTCTCCTGACAGCAATTTGACCTCTGTTTTCACCTTTTCCCATTCTCATAAATCAAAACAAATTGTCCGGTTCATAGCATTTTTCAAATTTAAATCTTTCGGTTTCTTTTAGCGCCATTTCATTCCGCAGTCTGGCAGCACCGACTCATGTGTGTTCATTTGCTTTTATCAAGGTTTTCTAACCAGTTTTCCAAGGAAAACACACTCCACGATTTCATAAAATCAGTTGTTTTATCAGAAGTTTAATTCTGTATAATTTTAAGTTTCCCCTTTAACTGTATATAATTTATTTTATAATAGTTAAGAAAATTCAAATTCGTTAAGGTTTGCCGCACAATATTCGCAAGGCTGCCAGAATCCAATCCGAACTGTTATACCGTGATACTTTTTACCGACGGTGTATAATTGTTTGGTATACATGTAAAATGTAAAACACGGGGATACCACATTTTAGGATCAAATATTCGCGCTAAGCTGGCCACACTGGTCAAAGCAAAGTTTGTCGAATTAAGTTTGTCCGAATTAAAAGCCACAGGAATATTTTCCAGCATTTCGGTAGGTTTTTTCGCTCCCCCCTCCGGTGGCCGGAGCTTCGAGACCCCCTGCCAGATCCGCCCGCAGTCGGCGAGGGGCTGCCGGGGACGGCAACAATGGCAGCGATCGATAATAGCGAAATGCTGGCAGCCAGCTTACTTATGTAATTGTTGGGTTCGAGGATTGCAGCTCTATTTGGTCACTTGTCGTTGCAGAAAATATGATACGGGCACCGCTAGTCAAGGCGCTGGGCGCTCTGGGCTCGCCCACACATCAGATGGCCAGCCGGGCGGTGCGCACCAGCGCCATTCTGGCCCAGACGCCGGCCAAGGCACCCGAGAAGATCGAGGTCTTTGTGGACGACATTCCCGTGCAGGTGTTGCCCGGCACCACTGTGCTGCAGGTCAGGCTGTGCATGCAGTTCCAGCAGGTGGAACACCTAATCCTCTAACCATCCTTTTCGTTGAACGCTCTTGCAGGCGGCTGCCCAGATCGGCGTGGAGATTCCCCGATTCTGCTACCACGAGCGCCTGGCCGTTGCCGGTAATTGCCGCATGTGCTTGGTGGAGGTGGAGAAGAGCCCCAAGCCGGTGGCCGCCTGTGCCATGCCCGTGATGAAGGGCTGGCGCATCAAGACCAACTCCGACCTGACCCGCAAGGCACGCGAGGGCGTCATGGAGTTCCTGCTGATGAACCATCCGCTGGACTGTCCCATCTGCGACCAGGGCGGTGAGTGCGATCTGCAGGACCAGGCTATGGCCTTCGGCTCCGATCGCTCCCGCTTCACCGACATCAACTACACCGGCAAGCGGTAGGATAGTGATTCTCATTGGAAGGGAAAAGGCCACATCACTATAGCTTATCCTTTTGTGCATTGCAGAGCTGTGGAGGATAAGGACATTGGACCGCTGGTGAAGACCATCATGACCCGCTGCATCCACTGCACTCGCTGCGTGCGCTTCGCCTCCGAAATTGCCGGTGTGGATGATCTGGGCACCACTGGTCGCGGCAACGACATGCAAATCGGAACGTATGTGGAGAAGCTCTTCCTCACCGAGCTGTCGGGCAACGTGATCGACCTGTGCCCGGTGGGTGCTCTCACCAACAAGCCATACAGCTTCGTGGCCCGTCCCTGGGAGATCCGCAAGGTAAGCAGCATCGATGTGCTCGACGCCGTCGGCAGCAACATCGTGGTCAGCACCCGTACCAACGAGGTGCTGCGCATCCTGCCGCGCGAGAACGAGGACGTCAACGAGGAGTGGCTGGCAGACAAGTCGCGCTTCGCCTGCGACGGCTTGAAGCGCCAGCGCCTGGTGGCACCTATGGTGCGCATGCCGAACGGTGAACTGCAGGCCGTCGAGTGGGAAGGTGCCCTTATTGCGGTGGCTAAGGCTATCAATGCGGCCAACGGCAAGGTGGCCGGCATTTCTGGACAGCTGGCCGATCTGGAGGCTCAGGTGGCCCTAAAGGATCTGATCAACAAGCTGGGCAGTGAGGCAGTCGCCACCGAGCAGGGCTTCATCCAGGGCGGCACTGACTCCCGGGCCAACTACCTGCTTAACAGCACCATTGCTGGCCTGGAGGAGGCCGATGCCGTGCTCCTGGTGGGCACCAATCCACGCTATGAGGCTCCACTGGTCAACACCCGTCTGCGCAAGGCGTACGTTCATAACGAGCTGCAGATTGCCTCGATTGGACCCAAGATCGATCTGTCGTACGACCATGAGAACCTCGGTGCCGATGCCGCTCTGATCAAGGACGTCTGCTCTGGATCGCACGCCTTCTCCAAGGTTCTGGAGGGTGCCAAGAAGCCGGCCATTATCATCGGTGCCGAACTGCTGGAACGTCCCGATGGCGGTGCTATTCATGCCACTATTGCCGATTACTGCAAGAAGCTGAAGAAGCCGGTGAGTAGGGACTCTCTCCCTGAGCACCTTTATAGCTTTATTGACCCGTTGTATTGCAGGACTGGAACCCCTTCAATGTGCTGCAGACAAACGCCGCTCAGGTGGGCGCCTTCGATGTGGGCTACAAGGCCGGAGCACAGGTTGCCGTTAAGGCCCAGCCCAAGGTGCTCTTCCTGCTGAATGCCGATGCCGGCAAGGTGACCCGCGAGCAGTTGCCCAAGGACTGTTTTGTCGTGTACATTGGTTCGCATGGCGACAATGGTGCTTCCATTGCCGATGCTGTGCTGCCAGGTGCCGCTTATACTGAGAAGCAAGGGATTTACGTGAACACCGAGGGCAGGCCACAGCAGACGCTGCCAGGTGTGTCGCCACCGGGCATGGCCCGCGAGGACTGGAAAATCCTGCGTGCTCTCTCCGAGGTGGTGGGCAAGCCGCTGCCATACGACAACCTGGATGAGCTGCGCAACCGCGTCGAGGATGTGGCGCCGCACCTAACGCGCCTGGGTCAATTGGAAGCGGCCGGCGAAGCCGGTGCAGAGGGCGCTATCGTAAGCAGATTATCTACCATCTTTCAAGGCAACCTATTAACTTTTCTTATTTCTGCAGAGCAAATCCATTAGTGGCGGCGCTATTGATATCAAGTTGAAGGAGCTGCGGGACTACTTCATGACCGATGCCATTTCACGCGCCTCGCCCACCATGGCCAAGTGCATATCGGCGGTCAACAAGCAGCAGCGGGAGAACGAGGCCAAGCAGAGCGTGGCCATCTAGGGCGCGTGACTTCTGATCTAAACTAATAACTAATTAATGTGTTTTTTTTTTAACTCTGCTCTTCGCTTGTGGCCACGCCACCTCCCAAAAATTACGTACGATCCGTTTTCAGACAGCACGATGAGCCGCCGCAGGAGCAGTGGCAGCCCCAGCGCTGGGGCAGTTGTAAAGGAAAAAAGTCTTTTTTGTTGTTGTTCAAGACAAAGAGGGAGTTATTCAATACGAGAAATAGGAAAAACAAAATAAAAATGTAATAGAAAAATATAAAGAGGGGTTTCCCCACTTACTGGCCGATGTAATCATCAGTGATTAACAGGAACGGGAAATATGCTATGTATTTAGCTTGCCCAGCATTGCCGTCTCGCTCTGTTCGATGTGTATGCGATGGATATGTCTGAAAATAAGGAATATATAGTGTTATTAAAAGCTAATAATACCTTAAATTGTATATGTTAAATCTTATCAAAATGTTTATCAAGCGCGAAAAGGAGGAGGTCCTGAAGTTTACCCTATGATTAAGGATAGTCTCTCTACATCGAAATTGAATTTGCAATTAGACCAAATCGAATCGGATATTGGATATATACGAAGGTCATCTCACAAAGCAATTACCATTATCCCTGCATACCCAATGAAGGTGAAACAAGTTAGGCATCAAGTTAGCTGACCAAAGCAAGGAAAACCCTAGTTGTAAATGAGGTCAAGATGGAGTCACAAGTGGGTGGAGTCCTAGTTCTTGTACCATTTATCAAGATTAGGGTCTTATAGCAATAACCTTAGTATAATTTCAAGTGATTTATTTAATTATTATTTAAGCATTAACCCATTTTATAAAGATAGGTTCATTCAGCAGCTCCCAGTGAATCCCAATTCCCCCCCGAACTAGAAAATTCCCTAAAAATAAGACTACAGGGCTATTTTTTGTGGTGAAAAATTATATTTTTCTACCATACATTTAAGGGATTTCATGGTTAATTTCATGGTTTTTAAACAAATTCAAAATTTTGAGTGCATGTCGGATGGGCTGCTGGGAGGATTGCGGGTCCCGGGAGTTCCACCGTAGCCGAACGAAGCGTTTAGCCACCCGATTTCCCCAGTGCCCAGTGCCCAGGGCCACTGGCTTGCGCAGAGCTACTATTGTGTGGGTTTTTTTAATTGTGGTAACTTAAACGGAACTGTTGAACTCATCGATCGCTGGCTAGCGGCAGCAACCATTCATCGTCCCGGGCGGCTGATCTGCTAGACTGCGGAACCCGCTTAGCTGCAGCAGCTAGCCGGCGTGGGGTCTGCTCCCGAGCGCTTGGTAATCGTCAGCCGGGTGAACTCCTCGGCGGTTGTGGGGTGAATGCCCACAGTGTTGATCAGGGTGTTGATGGTCAGGCCGGACTTGAGGGCGGCAGCGAATCCCTGGATCACCTCACCGGCAACGGGTCCGATGTAGTGGAGTCCATAGACACGCTGGTTGCCATGGCGCTCAGCCACCGCCTTCAGGTAGCAGTAGCGAACGCTCTTCTGGGGGATGAAGAACTCCGTGGGCTTGTAGTAGCCGTGGAACACCTCAATCTCATCGGCACCATACTTCTTCACAGCCTCCTCCTCGCTGAGGCCGACACAGGCGTACTCCAGGGGTGTGAATACGGTGGTGGCCACATCGTTGTAGTCCATGCGCTGCTCGGATCCAGCAAACAGGCGACGGGCCAAGAGACGACCGGCCAGAACAGCAACGGGCGTCAGCTCCGGCTTGCCATAGATGATGTCGCCGACGGCGAAGATGTTCGGCACATTGGTAGCCTCCACAGAGTCCACGGGGATCTTGTCCTTCTGAACTTTCACACCGACCTTGGGCAGGTTCAGATCTTCGACCAGACCCTTGCGACCGATGGCCCACAGCACGGTGTCGTACACATCCTGGCCCACCTCACCGTTGTCCACGTTCTGGTACTTAACCAGCAGCTTGCCATCTTCCTGCTTCTCCACGGACAGCGGCACGGTCCTGCGAAGGAAGGGAATGCCACGCTCCTCCATTGAGGAGGCCACCAGCTCGGCCATTTGTTGGTCGAAGCCACGCAGCACAACCGAGCGCACCATAATGGTGGGCTCATAGCCGAGGCCCTTCAGGAATCCAGCGCACTCCAGTCCAATGTAGCCAGCACCGACGACCAGGGTCTTGCCGGGCTCACGGTTCAAGCTGAACAGATCATCGCTGGTGATGCCGTGCTCCACGGCACCGGGGATATCCGGGTAGCGGGGACGTCCGCCCACGGCAATAACAAAAGTCTGGGCGGTAATTGTGCGTTCACCGCTCTTCATCTTGGCCACCAAGGTGTGTGTGTCCACAAAAGCACCCAGTCCATTGATGTACTCCACCTTCCTAAAGCAGAAACCAGGGAGTAATTACGTTAGAAGCAGGTTCTTTATCAAAGCCTTTAGGGTTTACTTACTTGTCGCGCAGATCCACACGGGTCACCCAATTGACGGACTTGATGTGATTCTGCACAGACTGCACCAGCTTGTTCCAGTCCGGCTTAATCTTGTCGCTTACATTCCACCCGTAGGCGGCTGCCTCATGGACAGCCTCGCCCAGCAGCGAGGCCTGGTGCATTAGCTTCTTGGGTATACAGCCGACATTGACGCAGGTGCCGCCGACACCCCACTTGGTGCCCAGGGTGGGCGTAGGCTTCACATAGTCAAGGCAGGCAACGCGGGCTCCATTCAGTACCGCTTCCTTCGCGCAGGCCAGGCCAGCTGAGCCGCCGCCAATCACAACCAAGTCGAAATCGTAGGAACCTGGGAAATGGGGAAAAATATAAAGGTATTAGCATGGCTGCTTGTGCAAGGGCTTCCTAGCTCCCTAGCTTATCACTTATCACAACAAAGAAGGGTGTAACCCACTCCTATCTTCCGCTGGCTCCTCACGCAGCCGTATGTCCAGATAGGCAGAGCGATATATGCTCCTCCGGTGGCGGGGTTCACCCTCAACTAGCTGGGAAGCGGGCACAAACTCAAACAGATGCATCAGGATCGAAATTGGAACCAAGACTGGGCGACCTGCAATCTGCAATCAGGGCCCAGGAATCTTTCTTTCCCTTTTCCTTGGATGGAGCTTTCGCTAGATGCCAGGCGGCGATAGAGCCCTGCCACATGCCATGCCGCCTTGGCCGCTGGCAAATCAAACTGGGGCAATCATCTGTGACATGACCCCAACCGAGTGACGCCTCCTGAATGCCCCCAAGCTCACGCCTACGCTCCGCCTCCTCAACGGTTTGCTTTGACCCGCCGGATTTGCCATGGTTACGCCCTTAGAGGCATGTTGGCAACACCGAGCGCCTTATCGGCTGGAATCACTCCCACACCTTTCTGCTTTCTGTTTGTTTGCTTAGCTCTACCTAGATTATACATATGCCCAGCAATATGTTATAAACAATATCAATACTAAGCTGTCGTCACGCTGCAATTAATTGCTAAATGTTATTACGATGACGGAAGAGGGTGCTGTGACGATGCAATTATCGAAGATGTGTTTGCTTGCCAGCGAGTACCGAGCAGATAAGTGGGCTGCACACGACAGATATGGTGAAATCATCATCATCATCATCATCATGGCCACCACCACCAACCAAAAGGTTCTCGAACATTCCCTCAAAGGGTTGTAGATAGTATCTGTATTGCCCAAGAGCATCATTACCTATGAAATTCACACATACTGTGTAATATTCAAGGGTAAACAACCTGGCTAATACTAATATTCTCTCTATATATTATTTCGAATATTGATTTCGTGAATAATAATGGGAAAAGGGAAGCAAAACCCGTTTAAGATGTGGTTTTTCTGAATATCGATTATCGATTACTTCTACTTCTTCTACTATTTTCTACATATTAAATCAAAACGAAAAATAGAAGCTACTACCGATTTTAAGACTAGACTTAACCACCTTTGGGCTGGAAAGCCGTCTTTTTGGCTCCCACAACCAGGGCGCACAGCAAGTGGCTGTATTTGAGGACCATGATTGATCTGCGGTTGGTATTTGTGTGCTAATCTCACGACCACCACTGTAATCCAGTTGGTATTGGTGCGGGGTGTGCGAACGAATGCCGATGGGCCAATGACGGTGCAAATGTGGAGTATTTGAATGCCGGCATATAAAACCCTTGCGAATACGTGCCGCAGATAACGGGTCTGTGGTCTTTCACAACTACGGTTATTGCATAATGCCGGCAGCGACGAGCGGCGAGCGGCGGGGGGTAACAAGAGAAACCCCAAATACAAAAACGCACAATTGACGCGTAACCCGACCGACTATCGGCGGTCGACCGCCGCGTTGCCAAACCCGATCGTGTTTCTGCTATCGATATCGACGCTCACCTCCTTTGTTCTTGACCGTTCGCACCGGCTGGGCGTACATGGCCTGGCGGTCGCAGTGGGGATGCTTGAAGGGCGGCGCAGTCGGTGCCCCGTTGCCGTTGCTGCCCTGCGGCGCCTCTGAGCTGCCATTTTGACCCCGGAGTGGAGCGAAGCTCATGGTTCGTTGTTGATGGAGCAGCAGGTGTGGAGAGTTGAAATTATGTTGGAGTATGCCGGGGACGGGGACAGGGCCAGAGCCGAAGTTAGACGTAAATATCGTCGAGCACTGCCGCACAAACGTGACGGAGCATCTCGAGCTCCACAAGGCGAGCGACATCTTTGCGGCTCCCTCTCAAACTTGGTTAACTTTCACCTCAATCAGCCGGGGGAGGGGCAGGAACGGCAATAACAATGGCGGTTCGCGAAGAATTGGAGAAAGAGCGGAGGAACAACACAAACGCGTCGCGGTCTGGCCGGGAATGCTGCGAATGCGGTGGGCAGCGAATGCGCCGATAGACGGTGGCTACGTAACAGAAGCAGCACAGCGATGCGAATGCGCGTGGCAAAGCGGAATGCCGATAGCGCAGCGGCAGAATCGAAATGAGAAGCAACAGATTATAGCGAAGTTCTGTTAGGCCATGTGTGCCTTCATTAGCATGTACTGGAAAGCGAACGCATTCCAATTAGAAGTCATGGCAGCAGCAGCAACAGTTGCGAATTAGAATTTGAAACGTTTTTCGGTTTCCGCACGTTTGGCAATGCGCTGCAATGGTATCGATAACAAGCAGATGGTTGGCAACACTGACAGCTGTGCCGGCCGCCAGCCAAATGATTTTCCGTTTTTTTGTTACGCCAATAAAGTCGTGTACGGCCGATAAGCGGGCGATCTGGTGAAATCCACGGGAATAGTTGGCCCAGCCAGTCACCTTAGTTCCTCCGCCGCGAGCGCTTTTTATTGCACCCTCACGACTCGACAACTCATTAGTTGGGCCTTAATCTCGAGTGCCAGGCGAAGCGAGGGCCGAAGATTAGATTTCGCTCCGCCGAAGATCACATCACAGACGCAGCGACTCGCAGAACAAACGGAAAACATGAACTCCATCCTGATAACGGGCTGCAACCGCGGCCTTGGTCTGGGCCTGGTCAAGGCGCTGGTGGCGCTGCCTCAGCCGCCGCAGCATCTCTTCACCACATGCCGCAGCCGGGCGCAGGCCACGGTAAGCAGAAGGGGGTAACACCAGTGACCGCTGGAGGCGAATCGGTGACCCGCGGCGTGACTCACACCCCGAGAAACTACGCGAACAATCCACAAGAACACAAAAACAACAACTAGTAGCACGGCTAATCCGGCTTGGGACTCGGAACGCGATGTCGCAAAACGACTCACCTTGCACGGGCGCCATTTTCAGTGTCTCCGGGAGTTTGTCCAAGTGGATAAGGCTCAGCGAAAGGATCAGCAACGGATAGTAAGTGCGCGGCGACGCGGAAATGTTCTCGGAGTCGGGTTCGAAGAGAAAACAGTTACTGTAGTTCCGGAACAACTGTGTGAGCGGTGTGTGGTGTGTGGGCGATTCGCTTCGACGGCGAAAGCACGAAACGTAGATGGGAAATAAGCGGCGCTAACTTTTTGCAATAGCTTTTGTACCCTTTTCGTCATTAGTGTGCCCGTTCTCGGGCAGCGACATTGCGGCACGTCAATCGATAGGGGCGAAGGAGCAGTGATCGATTCTGTGCTAATGTTTGTCATCGAATTTGAAATGGGTTTGTAATGTTTACAACTACTACTGCAGGAACTGGAGGATCTGGCCAAGAAGCACTCCAATATCCACATTCTGGAGATTGGTGAGTAGTCAATTCGCCCTGTTAATATGAAGTGGAATGAGTAAGTTGATTAATTTTCCGTAGATCTGAAGAACTTCGAGGCCTATGACAAGCTGGTTGCTGATATAGAGTGCGTGACCAAGGATCAGGGACTCAACGTGCTCTTCAACAATGCCGGCATTGCGCCCAAGTCCACGCGGATTACGGCTACCAGGTCGCAGGATCTGATGGACACGCTGCAGACGAACACGGTGGTGCCCATAATGCTGACCAAGGCCTGTCTGCCGCTGCTGAACAAGGCGGCCAAGGTGAACGCATCGGAGCCGATGGGCGTGGGTCGGGCCGCGGTCATCAACATGTCCTCGATCCTGGGCTCCATACAGCTAAACACGGACGGTGCCATGTACGCTTATCGCGCCTCCAAGTCGGCTCTTAATGCGGCCACCAAGTCGATGAGCATCGATCTGTTTCCGCAGCGCATCCTGTGCATCAGCCTGCATCCTGGTTGGGTTCGAACTGACATGGGCGGCAGCAATGCCCCCCTGGATGTGCCCACCAGCACCGGAGAGATTGTGAAGACTATCTGCGGGCTGAGCGAGCAGCAGAACGGCAGCTTCCTTAACTTTGATGGCAAGCAGTTGCCTTGGTGAAGGGCAAATGGCTTAACCAACTGCATTTTCACCATATTGCATTATGTTTATTCTTATTTCTTGATTGTTGTTGAATAAACCTAACACTTGAAGTGCCTGGAAAAAATGTTTTAGAACTCCTGTGTAAATAGGGGGCTTCGATTACAAGTTCTAGAAGCTTATATGCAATTTCTAGAGACTTCTGAAACGTCCCCGATATTTTAGTTTAATTATTATGTGAAATGAACCCTACCAAATGGATTAATTCGCACATAAATATATGCCTTATATATAAACCTAAATTCAAATCAAAGCGACTGACTGGTTAATATAAATATAAGACTTGCAGGATTAGGGGCTCATTGGACCCAGACCTGCAGTGACAATTGTATTTTAATGCCTTAAGTGGATTTACATAGAAAAATATTGATTTTCTTGCCCCGCCCGGAACACAGCAATTTGGAGTGGAGTACCTTAACCTATGGACGTGATAAACACGCAACGTCTCATCATCTCACCTCGTCTGTCTGCTAGTTCTGCCATGGCAAAATCCTGGCCACGGGCACTCTGGACGGATCGGCGCCAACGTCCTGGGCCAACGGTGGCAGTCGTACATTGGCCAATCCCGCTCCTGGACCCCCCGCATCCGATGATGCACCTGCGACGCAATTGGGATCTGGATACGGCATTTGGCGTACAGGCGGCACCATGGCCACTGGTCGGGGTGAGGCTATATCGGCCGGTGGTGCCACGTAGCCCGGCTGACCGTCCAGCGGATGGGCCACGCGCTTCCGGAGATCGAGACGTGGGCGTCGGCTGTTCGCATTGTTGGCCAAAGATTCCGCTGACACTGGTGGTGGATCATTCCAGCCGGGCGTAAGGGAGCCTGCCGAGGAGGACCAGGGATAGAAACGTGAGTAACATTAGGTGTTAGGGTGAAAGCCATTGGGGACTTACCAGGAAACGCACCCGACGGGGCTATGTTTTGCCCCGTTGGCGGCGGCGGCAGCGGCAGCGATGTCTGCTCGAGGTGCTGCTGGTGCGGCACGGGCTGCGCTGTCAACGGTGGCGGTGCCATGGTTTTATAAGGCTGTCCTGTTGCTCCTTTTTCCCGGGTTTTGTCCCCGATCCTTGCCAGAAATTTATTTGGTATTACACTTACTAGAGGTGGGGCAGCGATGTTATTTATTATCGCTTTGAAAAAAATCGATTGTCTTTCAGACATCGATAGTTAATAACGGCCATTTATTTTTTCACTTGCACATCACTACAAACCTGACAAGCGGGTTGCTATTTCATTAACAATATTTTACTTATTTTGCACTTTTTAACGTAATAAAAACTAACAAAGAAACGATTTTCTGTGCTTTTTTTATACCTTTATAGGGTATTATAATTTCAGTCACAAGCTTGCAACGACATGAAGGAGTTGTTTCCGACCCTATAAACTATATATATTCTTGATCAGCATCAACAGGGGAATCTTTCTAGGTATGTTGGGAAGAAAAAAAATTTTTGTCCATTTTTTCAAAATTTTATAAGGGGTTACATCGTTAAAATTTTTAAAAATTCATAAAATTGTAATTTTTTAAAAATTTTTAATAGAGTATGCAGATTTTTAAACCTTCAAAAGACTAGCAAATAATATTTTTCCAAATCCAAATTAATGCATTTTTGACGAAGTTATGCATTTTTTAAATTTTGATTTGTCAACAAAAAAATAAATATATAAAAATTCCGATTTCAAGAATCTTTCGAAGGAAAATATATATTATTGATCAGCATCAACAGGCTAATTTTTCTAGGCATGTAGGAAAGAAAACAAATTTTTTTTACAATTTTTAAAAATTTTTATAAGGGGTTACATCATTAAAATGATCAAAATTTGTCAATAAAAATCATTTATTTTATATGTTAAAACTCAGTGTGCAGATTTGTTACCCTAATAAAAATTAGCACAAGAAAGTTTTCCGAATTGAAATTAATGCATTTTTGGCTTAGTTATGATCGATCTAACATTATTGATAACTACAAAGATATACAGACTTCAACTTATCAAAGTTAACTTTATTTCTTGATAATCTTAATCTAAAGAACATTTCTTTATACGATTTATACTTAAAATAAACCACGTTGAACTGTCAGCGGTCCTGCTGGAGATTTACATCAGGATATCAGGACATCAGGACATCAGGACTTATAAATATCCTGTTTATAGAGCTGAATAAGACGAATTATTCCAATTTCCAAGCTTGTCTCGTTTTCCATGGAGTCGAGGAATTGTTATATGTTACAAACTAATGGTATTACAATTAATATGTGTAATAATTAACAAAAATTCTTAAAATTAAGCTAGATGATTGAGTTTTTTGGATTGAGGTGACTGTTTACATTCAATTAATAACCTAATTAATACGAAAACCAAAAATATGTTACAATCTTTTAATAGTTTAATGTGTAAATGTTGATAGCATTATAAAGACACAAGATCCTGGGCAATAAGCCCGAGATTACCGGGTGTCTCAGCTTTCACACTTAACTGTATGTAAAAATGATAAAACATAAATAATAATTATGTTGAAAATAATCAGAACCTTTGTGCAGACATGTTAATTAGTTATTACATTTGCATAAAGTGAACTTGACCGATTTCTAGGCCCAAATAACTAAGAACAAAGCAAAATGAGTTGGCATAATCGTTGTAATAATTGCATTAGGCAACCTTGCAGGGCTTCTGGGGCAGTCGGAGGAGCTGGGTATCGGGTACCCGGGTTCCATGATGACTTAGTTGCTTCTATGGCCTCTTACCATAGCCGCTGTCACACGCACAAGAGTCTTAAGTCTAATCTTGTGCAGTGGCCAGCAGCTGCAATAAGCACCTTATTCGGAATCGTATCGAGTCGAAATCACTGATGCAGGTCGAAGTGGAGAAGGATATCGAGGTTTCTTGGGGATTAAAATACGGGGTCAACGTTTAGTTGTGGACTTTTGCCGAACTGGAGTGCTGAATAAGTGATGAGGATGCCCCGCGACATATGGTCGAAATTCCAGGCTAGTTAAACGCGTTGCGCGCGGTTTGGGGGACGGGGCACGTTTTTGAATATTATATTAAATATGGATCGACGTTTGTGGTTGAGCTGGACAGCTGGTTGGTTATTGATTTTCAATTCGAAACCGATTTTCTATGGCCAATTAAGGGGCCTTCTTCCGTGCTAATGGGGCTTAATTGGTGAATTACTTTAATTTCCAATCTTAAGAAAAAAAAAAAACTGTTTAAAGGAAAGCAAATCCTTGAGGGAGAAATTCTCTATTGTTGATTTTTATAATTCAATATTTTAAGCTTGATTTCGAATTCCTTAAAAAGGCTGCCCCAAAAGCAGGCCATACAAATATTTAATATCCTGGCAGAACACTGTCCTTTTTTAGGATTTCTTTATATAGCATATCTTTTGGCACCGCTTTTGAAAATTGTTTGTAAAATCTCTAGTTATTTCTATTATCCTTGGCACTGGAAAAACACATTATCACAACTAAAAAAATATATATTTGTGTTATCCTATTGGCACTTGAAAAAAAATACATTTTCCTTATATTATTTTAGTTATTCTTTTTATAATTCCCTTGTCTTTAGTTTATAGTTTATAGTTTTTATAGTTTTTCTGCTTATTTCTGTAGATCCTGGCAACTGTTGCTGCTGTGTTGTCGTCTAATTAACGGCATTTAACTGAGACATTGTTCGGTCCGTCGTTCACCTTTTATAGTGCCAGGTGGGAAACGTCGACGTCGACATCGGCGGCGGCAGCGGCAGCGGCATTGCATCCCTCTTGTGTTTAACTTGTTTAAGTTTTCAATATGCCCCTCTGCATGTGTGTGTGTGTGCCTGGTGTGTGCCTGTGTGTACATATGAAGGTGTAGAACCCAAGCCGAGCGCGAAGACTTAGATGTGTGTGTGGCATGGCGTAGATTGTGTGTGTGTGTGTGTGTGTGTGTGTCCATGTGTAATATTATTAAGGGGCATTAGTGTGTGTCCCCGAAACGCTGCCTACTTTTCAGGCTTTTGTCGGGACTCTTCTTCGATCGGAAAAGCCAGCAAGTGCCACCGAAAAGAGAGCCAGACATTGAGGCAGGTTTCCAAAAGGTGCATGACCAGCTATCGGGTGTGGGTACGAAATATGATCTGCAACTGCAATTGGAACTGGAACTGCCCACAATCACTGGCCCAAAGGAGCCCAACCGGCTGCAGTTCATCCACCATTTTGCGGGGGTGTTGAAAAATTAAATAACATTTTGCCCAAGGGGGAAATGGTGGCAAGGGAGAATGGGGACCCTGGGCCGGTGGCACTTCTAGGGCATCCCCGGGGCCGGCATGGGGGCAGCTTGGAATGCTTGGCTGGTCAGCGCCCGTACAAGAGTGCACCAAACTAACTGCTGGACCTGGTCCGAGGCCCAGTCTTTGAGTGTGTGTGCTTTGGGCTGCCTCCGTGGGGAATCTCAACAAAGGTAATGGCAAGCGAGCGGGGCTTAGCGCGTATCGAGTGACAGATTGTCTGCGGCAAGGAGGCCAGCCCAGAGAAGCGATCAGTCAGTCGCTGAGGAGAGGCCTGGCCACCCTCCTTGCCCCTCCTTGCCTTTGTTTCTTGTTTCTTGGGAAACCATAATTTCCGACAGCATTTGCCGGTGCTTTTCCGGCTTTCCGCCTTTCCGATTTTCAGCTTTTCAGCTTTTCACAACTATCGTTGTCGCCATTGTCGGTGGCGCCCATTAGTATGCTACGAAAAATTATATTTGACCAATGCCAAGCGATTTAATTGGCATTCAAAATATATATTCCAATTGTGAATAAATTAAAAGCAAATTAGTGAATTTAACTATCTAAAATAATCATAAACATTTATGCTTGCTAATTAATGTATTATTTAAAAGAAGGAAATCACTTTTCCTTCAAGCATAACATTAATTAACAATTAAATGCTAGGAGAGGAATAAAGTATCTCGGCTTCTTGCCTATAAATTAATTAATTAAACCCAAAACCTGTTCCAAAGAAGGTCAGTTCCCTTAGTCTTTGTCATAAACTGAATAAAAGAATATATATTTTGTAACAAAAATTAAAATACAAAAAAATTGCAGCTTTGCAATTTGAACTTTGTGGAAGCAATTAGTCACCAAAAGTTAGCCTGCAAATAAATTTAATATTTAATACTTTGAAACTTTAAGCCTTCGGGGAGAAGCAGAACAAGAGTATCAGCCTTTTTGACAATTTTAATGATATTTCCCCTCACAACATTTTGAAAACTAAGGTACATTTGTTGTTAAATCCTTATTGATTAAATATTTGTATTACCTTTGGTAATAATAAAACCTAAAATATGTATATTCTAGGTATATTAAATCGATATTTTTATATGCTAATTTTTGGGGTAAATCCAAGTTTTTCAAATATCATAACTCAGTCAAAAATGCATTAATTTCAATTCGGAAAGCTGTTCTATGCTAGTTTTTTTAGGTCAATAAATCTGCATACAAAATTTACAAATTAAAAAAAATCTAAAATTTGTAAATTTTTGACAATTTTAATGATGTAACTTATGAAATTTTGAAAAAAAAATTATAAAAATTTTTTTCTGCCGAAGAAGTCTAGAAAGATTCCCCTGTTCATGCTGATCAAGAATATATATGATTTATGGGGTCGGAAATGATTCCTTCACAGCTTTACAAGCTTCTGAATGAAATTACCCCTTAAAAGGATATACAAAGTTTTTAGTTTAAAATTGCGAAACATGGTATTTTGATTGCCAAATTATTGCAAACGTCTTTGGGGGCCTGTGTTGATGTTGATTTCAATCAATATTCATGGAATAACGTTGTAATTAAATGGGCATACACACACTTAAACACTCAAACACACACACCGACTCCTGCCGGAGGTCCTGTGTGCGCGTCACACGTGTCCTTTGCAGCGAGGAGCAGCGACCTTCGTGCCACGTCACAGTGCTCCAAGATAATCGAGAGCGGAAAGAAATGTGCGAAGAGTCCTTGCGGCCAGCAGCGGGGAAAATGCAAATGTGAAAATGCGGGAAAATCGGGAACGGGAAATGTGGAAATGGGAAGAGGAAAAGTGCTTCTAAATATAGAAGCTACCAAAAATAGAAACTAGGACACACACTGTTGTTGCAAACGTTGTTCCTGTTTTCTGTTTAAATATA